AGCCGTAGGCGAGGTGCGCGGGGCGACTGGTGACTAGGCCCTGCCCTCCACTGACGACGGTGGGGCCCTCACCCCGCGGCCCCACACCCCCCTCGCCCACCCAGCCGGGCGCGCTCGCTGCCTAGTGTGCAGAGCAGGTGGGGGCGGGAGGTGCGGGTCGCGGGCGGCGGGCGGGCGCTCGGACGTGCGCCCTCGCCGGCCGCCGGCTCCCTGCAGGTGTCTGAGCGGACGCCTCGGCGGCAGGGCATCGGAGCGAGGGTCGCAAACTCCCGCCCACCCGCCCACCCGCCCTTTCCTCACACCTGGCCCTGCGCGTTCAGCCGGACCAGCCCCGGGGCGCGCCTCCCAGAGGGCCAGGTCCGCTCCCGGGGCCAGGGCGGGCTGAAGGTGCCGGGCGGCCTTCCGCGACTGAGCCCGACCCATGAGAAGGCCTCGAGGCGCGTTCCGGGGCGCGGTTCCAGGAGGCTGGGCAGGCCTGTGAGTTTTGGGGCGTCACCGATCTCCCCTAAACTCGGCGGCGCTAGACGGCCCAGGGTGGGGCCCTCAATTCGCTAGGTCCGCCCTAGTCTCTCCCCAGCCGATGCGTAAACTGGTCATCTTTGCATCACTCTGTCTTGCCGTCCCAAGAGCCTGAAAGACTCTGCGACCTGGGTCCTGCCCCACAGTTTGCGGGGTTGCAAACCACCCTCTTTCTCTAGAAGCTAAACCCTGAAGCTTTGGTCTTTTTATGTGACCCCTCTCTTTCTTCTCTTTCAGTGGTTCCTTCCTTCCTTTGCTTATTCATTCATTCATTCATCAAATCGGGAGCTCCCAGCGCGCCCTTCTTTCAGCCGGCCACGGCAGCTGGGGTCGTCGGGGGATTCCCAGCCGTGACGCAGTTGGAGAGGGCCACTCTGGCTTCCAAATAGCCAACCGAATCCCGGGGCCTGGGGCATGAGGTCATCAGCGGTGATGCCCATTGGTTCAGGCCTGGACGTGGGGAGGGGGTCCCCATAGCAACCGACGGTGCGTCCGACCGTAACCTGGGGAGTGGTCGTTGCTTGAGCTCCAGTGGCAGCTCGGGTGGCTGTTTGGGTTGGGGGCGGGGCGACTGGATGGAGCTCAGCTTCCCACGTCCCGCCGCCCTAGCCCAACCAAGCTCCTATCATTCTCGAGAGCCTTTTTCTCACACCAAGTAATGGTCAGTGCCACTTACCCCAGGAAGGTTAGGGGAGGGGTACTGGCAACAGCGCTGGGGTCCTGGGTGCCGGGCTGCTGCCACATGGAATGCTAATTCTGAGATCCTCCTGGTCTTCTGCATATCGTCTGCATCTCATTTGCATTCTCTTCATTTAAGGTCAAATTGAGCAGACATCTCCACATCCCCAGGCTGTCGCTTGTCTGTATCCCGACTTTATCCCTTAACAGCTCCATAATTTCTCTCCCCTTTTCTGGTTCCTTACCCCACCCCTCTTCTAGCCTCCAATGTCTCCTCCGGTGGGAGGGGGCGCAGCCTAGCTAAAGCAGTCTGCATCTCCCTCTGGATGTTTGTTGACAGATGGGGAGGGCTGGTCTGTACTGTCTAGAGATTAAATTGGCAAAGCAAATGGTGGGGGAAGGTGCCCCGGGCCGGGTGGAGGGTCTCCAGGGCCAAATCACCCACACACCCGGCAGGGTGCTGGCACGAGGGTTGCCTGCTTCCAGCGAGGGGCAGGCCTGCCCACCTGTCTGGTGCCAGGCCAGCTTCCTTCCTCCAATTAAATACTAATGAGGTGTCATTAACCCTGTGTTTGCCTGCCAGCCCTCCGGTGGAGCGCAGATTCATGGTCTCCCACCCAACCAAGAGGGAGGCCCTTTGAAGAAGCTCAGAGGTAGTGGGGCCCAGGGGCCAGGAGACCAGCCAGCAGGGCCAGAGGCGTGCGCAGCTGGCGCTGGTTATCCTGTGTGCTGCTGAGGC